AGAGGAACAACATACATTGGGACCTGTCAGGGCAGGGGAGTGTGGGAGGGAGGGAGCACATCAGGAAAATTAGCTAATGCATGCTGGGCTTAATACCTAGGCGATGGGTTGATAGGTGCAGCAAACCACCATAGCACACATTTATTTATGTAACAAACCTGTACATCCTGCACACGTACCCCGGAACTTAAAATTTTTAAAATAAACAACAAAAAACTGGTTCAGGCTCTGAGTGAGCTTCAAGATACTCCTAGATGAAATTCTTCTCTATCCCATGGGATCCAGAAGACCCACAAGGAAAGGAACTCGTGTGTGCGTGCGTGTGTGTGTGTGTGTGTGTGTATTTGTGTCATTTATGAAAGAGTACATTGGCATTACACAATAAGTAAGCAAATTAAACCATATCTGGACAACTCTTTGCCTTAGAAGTATGATGTTAAGAGATAAATGGGTTGACTCAACACTGAAAATGAAAGTTGGTGATTTATGAATGCATTCATTTTCTTCTTCATGCATTCAACATTAACTGGGTGCCTGTTACATTCCTGGCATTTGCTAAGATTCCTGGATAAAAAACAAATAAACAAACAAAAAAAGCCCAGTTCTTGGTTCCAACAATCTTACTCGACTGTACCATTAACCACCTGTCCAGTTAAACAACCTAACCTCTCTTTCTGTCTCAATTTCTTTACTTTTATAATGGGCATAATAATACTCACTTCGAGAGATTCTGTTAGCCTAAAAGACGTTCGTATATGTTACAGTGGCTTAAAATATATCAACTAGCTGCAGAGATTTAATAAACTCTGATCCAAGTGGAGCCTATCACTTTATAGATAAGCCTATGAGGTGCAGAGGAATCAGATTACTTGCTCAGGTGGGCAGCAAGTTGTTGACTGAGCCAGTTCCCAACACTGCCACAGTCACTACCATCACCAGAGCCCAGCAGGTCTGTTGATAACCTAAGCTACACTAGGATGCCTACTTTGATTTCAGTCCAATCACTCTATAAATGATTATGGCAGAATTTTGTGTTTTTTAAACATAATTTTGATAACTTTAAGATTAATACTTTTCCTTGTTATCCTATGTATTTTATTTTTATCCATTTAAAAACATTAATTTGAGAAAGAATTAACCATCTTCTCCAGATTGCCAAAGGAGTCCATTGCACCAAAATTTGTAAGAAATTATTACTTTTGAACAGTGGTTTTGAACTGGAAACAGTTTTGCTTCTGGCCCCTGGGGATATTTGACAGTGTCTAGGAAGAGTTGCTACTGGCATGTAGCAATCAGGGATACTGCTGAACATTTGACCACGCACAGGACAGCTCCTTCATAACAAAGAATTATCACACCCCAAATGCCAATCATGCTGAGCTTCAGAAACCCTGTTTTGGAGCAGTGTACAACAAAAGGCCAAAAAGTTGCTAGACTTTGTATTCTCACCTAATTTCCAAGTACATTCATCTTTTTTGATCCGCTTGATCTCCCTATGGATATTCACACAAGTGAAGTGGTTTGATATGTTTTTGTTTATAATTCTTGCACCCACCCCAAGTCCAGCAAGTATTACAAGTTCCCCTGGATCTGTGAGCCAGAAGCTCTGTGCAAGGCAGAGTTATGAGTGCTTCTGAATTTATTGCGCTTCTTGGAAATGTAAATGAGAAATCTGTCCCATAGGCAAAAGCAAGATGGTCCATGAGCCCCCTTTGTATAGCTAGCCAGGCCTTGCATGGACTGCACAGCTAATTCAGTGATTTCCCTTAGGGTGGCCTCACTTAAAATGTAGAACTCCTTTTCAAGGCTAAAAGAGCAGTAGGAAAGAAGGAGGAGGTAAGGGGATAAAACCATTTTCTCCACCTGGGGACCAGTAATAGCAACACAAGGTACAATTGGACCATCTTCTTCTTCCTTCTTTCTTCACTCTTGTCATCCAGGCTGAAGTGCAATGGCATGATCTTGGCTCACTGCAACCTCTGCCT